AGATCTTAAAGCTGGATGTGGATGTACCCCTGGCAACTGTAACACCTACTTGGAAGCTGATTTCAAATATAGGTTTGAATTAGATGTTACTCTCCCATTTAGAAATGCTTCCATGGAAATGCAAGGAGGAGGCTCTGTTCCCTCCATCCACACTTATCTCATCTGGCCAGAGCAGTGAAATCAGGAAACAGGCATGAATTTGTTAACTAGAAACTAGGTCGTAAGCACTACCAAGAGAGAGGAAGACAGCCTGTGGACTGATGATTTGTTCTGTTCACACACTGTGAATTTTCTGGAGGAAAAAGTGAGGGAGGTACACTCTTCTTGCTTGTTTTTGTTATGGCTGAAGCTGAAAAAAAATCTCTGTGAATAAACCTGAAATTCTGGGAGGACAACGTTCTCTGCTGAATGTGAGGCTCCTGCTGAGTTTATGTCTAGCTGAGTGGCCCTGACTCACACAGAAAGACTTTTAAGACCTCCCCATCTACATTAAAAAGTCCCAGTACCTGCTAAGGCAAGAAGAACCAAACATCCACCACTGGCAGCTTACCAAGAGCCAGAGAGCTACATACAATAGCAAAACAAAAAGGATGATCCAGCTCTCCTTTTCCATTCAGAGTCTCTTCCCTGAAATATCAGGACTGTAATGCTGGGAAAAGAGCTGTGAGTCACCAGAGCTGTGAGTCAAAAGAGCTGTGGCATTGCACAGCTTCACAGGAGGCCCCGACTAGAAATGGGCAGCACAACCTGCCAGCTGACAAGTCCTGCACCAAAGAAGGCAACAGAACATCATCAGGGTTAAACTGATATTCTGACAGGAAAATTGGATAGTGAAAGGACCCAAATAAGAAAAATTCTCCATTTTAGCATTTGTTTGCTGAAATAGTACTCCTAAATCTGATCAAGCAGACTGAGAAAATCACTGTTCTTTGTTGATAAATTCTTCCAGGAAAATCAATTTTTATTTGCACCCAGTTTTTCAAGGTTTCATAATGTGATAGGCAATGATCAGAACACTTCTAGTAACTCAATCTAGTAGCTAAATCTCACCATTTATCCTTGTTTTCCTTTATTTTTACACTCAATTGCAATTTGGTAGATAAAATTCTATTATTTAAGTCTATGTTTTGTCCTGATAGTGCCAGTTTTCAACAGGAAACCGGTAGAAAAAGGGAAAGTAAGTAGTAATAACACCTATGAATACATTATTTGAACATACCATACACCAGAAGGCTCAGGCGCCTGGAGATGAAACATACCTTCTGTAAATTAAAAAGATACAAAATGTAAATACTGAGGCAGAAAGTTCAAAAAAAAGTTCATTCCAAGGACAAGAAGAGCCTTAAAACATCTAGATTAAAAATTTCATGGCCTCTTTTACTGTTTTGAGTGCCAAAGAGGAGATTGGATAGCAAATACTCAGGTGATGGCATTGACCAGAGGTGCTACGAGACTGACATTTGGAGAGACACACAATCACTCACTGTGTGCTCCTGTTTGTTACAAAGCACTTCTGTCTGGAGTGTGTCCACTCCATAATGGCAAACAGATTAGTACAATGTATGACATGGATGCATGAAAACATTGATGACATTCACACCTGAATTTTCATCCCAGCTCCTTTTTCTTCACAATAAAGAGTTGAAACACAAAATCTAGCTTGAAACTTGATTGGATTCCAGCCTAAGGGTAATAGACTACTTAGATAAAGAAAAACTCAGAAGTCAGAAATCAAATGCCTAAAGCTGAAGAAAAATAATAAAACAGAGCAACAATCGAAGGCATATGTTTCAAAATTAAAAGAAAGAAAATGTAGGGAAAAAATGTACTGTCCTCTCATAGGAAAAAAATCAGGAAATTGAAAGAAGAAATTAAAACAGAAACAAGGAGTGCAGAGGACTGACAATTCAGGAGGAGAGATAATGCATGAGAAATGTTCAAAAAGCTCAAAAATCAAGTGTAAAACCATAACTCAGAGGGATAAAAAGCAGGAGAAAAATTCCTAGTGGGGGGGAAAAAGTAATAGTAGTAGTAGTAACAGTTCAGTACACTGAGCAGGAATTGTATACAAAAAAGCAGAACTGCTTGTATTTATTCTGTGGATTTTTTGTGTCTTGGTGTGTTCAAAAAGTAGCAGTGCACAGGAAAGAAAACAAAGGCCTGTCCAGCTCATGTGTTATTAATGAGGATGCTGTATCCAGCATCATCTTGCAGATAATTTTTTTATTCATGAGGACTTCTATTCAAGAATCCTAAAAGAGATAGACAAGAATATCTCACTAATGCTACTTTTATATGTATCTTAGAAAACTAGGGACAGGTTGAGAGTTACCAATCAATTATTGACAACAGCATGGAAACGACCTAAATACTTATCACTCAATTAATCCAGGGGAAGCCGGAGATAAGTTAACATGGAATGCAAGAGATAAAAGATGAAAGGATGGGAACATAATTAATACTTGTTAACATCATGTTATAGAAATTGGATCTTGTCAAATGAAACTGCTTTTGCCAATCAGACTGCATGTTTGGTGGAGATATAACAGAGAGGCACCTTGCCTGCTGTTACAACAAGCTGTTTGACTTGGTGCTGCATAACATTCTGGTTAAAAATAACACTATGCAATATCCTTAGCATGCCAAACAAGCAGTTTCATAAAGCTGACTGATAGACATCAAAGTATATGCCACTGACAAGTAAATGTGGAATGGGGATGTTTTTAGGTGACTACAGGAACTGTGGCTCTCCAATGATAATCATAATTTTAATAGCCCGGATGTAAATAAAAATGCTTCTGCCAATAAAAGCATGTCTTCCTAAAGATGGGTGTATTGGTAATAATGTTAGCTACAACCCAGTAATGCTTTTCTCTACTTGCCAAAGTGCAAACCACTGAGCCACCCTGAGACCACAAACATAAGGAGTCCTGAAATGAGATTAACAGGATACAGGTCAAAGAATTAATTCTGCAGCTCTGCAAGTTTGCTCTATCACCAGGATGCTATCCTGCAAATTATTCCACACAGCAACATATATCAAGCCACATGTCTCCATTCCTGTAATTTGACTTTTTAGGACAGGAGAAACTAATGTAAGTAAAGCTGTTTTTCACACTGTCACATGAGGGCAAAAATACCTGGCAGTCCACTATCCCTCCTCAAATCAGTCTAAGAAATTTCACCTATCACTTCCATTAAAATTCCAGACTGTTTTGAAAATCCAGAGGTTCAACACAAAAAGAAATTATCTCAAAGGGTAGCAAGTTACTGCACATTAGCTGTCTACATCCTTTAAGCTACAGTCTGAACTTTCAGATTTCAATCTGCAACTATCCTATAATCAGGGTGATCTTTGGGCAATTAAGCACTGTCAGAGTTTAAGGGCACAGTTTCATTACCTCAAAACAACTGGCACTTTTTATAAGCACCCTCCTGAGATGGAAGATTGAAGATGAAGTGCCTTTTAATTCTGGAAGAGAAAAGGCATTATGGGAGGAAAAAAACCAAGCCACACGTCTTATTCCTGAGAGGTCAATAAAAATAAAGATAAACAAACTTTTCTAGACTTTGCTCTCAGGTGTGTTTTCTGACTGACTGCCTCCTGTGAAAAGTCAGACTGCATCCTCTCCCCGAGGCTGTGTCTCCTCCCTGCAGGGAAGAAGTTTGGCTTTTGCTCTATAAACACAAGAATTTGGCATGAGTCTTAGCTAATTATTTGTAACACCAAACTTCCTAATTGACAGATCTTTAAAAAATGCCATGCTTCACATCAACTACTGAGAATGGTAGCTTTGGTTTATCAAGCATATCCAACTGCTCTCTGTGTCCCATTGTTTGTCGAAAACAGACCTGTGTGTGGATTTCTTTTTACCTCACATGTTACAAACTGAAATGCAATTTCAGTAGGTGAAATTGGCATTTCTTTACTTCCTTCAAGTTAATCGCCACATCATAGTCTGAATATAGATTAATTGTATTTTACAATACAAAGTAATTATCCATTTGTTTTAACTTCTGTTCTGCGTCATTCAGACTAATGGATGCTATGGCAGGACTGTACAGCTGCATCTGAAACTATTGCCTCAGGAGTCTTCTGCTCCTTTTAAATGAAATAAAGTTAGCAGGGAATAAAACTGAAAATGGAGGCAAAGTAAATCACAGCCTTCATGACAGGAAATGCTTGCCAGAACTCTTAGTCAGTGCCTAATTGTTTTCCTTCATATACAATACCCTGAGACTTCAACAATCTTTAAAAATAAATTTCTGCTAATCCCCCTAGCATTAAATAATAGGTCTTTTAAATCCATTTTTAAAAGGTAAATAGTACAGTACACTTCAATCAGCAAGTAGCCATATCAATCATAACAAAGAAATTTCAAGTATTATAGATTTTATGTAATCTGTTTCCTTTCCAGGAAGAAACCTGGATCTAAAAATTAACTTAACTGTCTTTCAACAAAAACAGGGATAGCATTACTAGGAAGAGAGAGTAAATACCTCTTCTGCACTTCACCCACTCTGCCTTCCACCCTGTAGTCTAAAGGCTAGTTAACTGAATACATTCCAGGTTTTAAAATTAAAAATTAACATTCAAGTCATGGGAGAGCAAATAGAAGGAAATACAATTTTTTCAGCTCGAAGTTACCTATTCCTTTTATTGCTTTTTCAAACTTTACAAGATAATTTCTATATAAGGTATTGGGGTTTTAGGGAATGCCTCTTACTATTGTGCTGTAGAGCAAGTTGTAGTCATCACAGGGAAGAAATTCTCTTGGTAGCCACCTTGCTGCTATCACTTTTCATGGAAGATATTAACATGATCAGTCTTCCCTGCCCTGCATGAAAGCAACACCCATTGATAGCGTGATTCATCTATGATGCAACTCCCAATATTGCATCCATTTTATGATAATCACACTGTCTTATGGAGGCACACATGCTCATTGAGATGTACAGCAAAGCTTTGATCACAAGGCTTTACCTGCAGAATCAAGTTATCACCTCCTGGTTGCCAGCCTTTTGCTCCATGCATGAGATTTTTCTAACCCTCATAAAAGTAGGCAAGGATGCTGGAGAAGTGAGTAACAAATGCTGGAATGTGAGATTTGTATAACTGATTACAGCAGGCTCTGTGTGTGTTTGTGGTCACTGACTGTGTGTGGGTTATCTGGCAGGGAAAACAGTTCTGTGTTTTGGACAAGATTTTCTAGATATAGCAAGAACCTTATGCAAGGACCAAAACAGTTCAGCACAGAATCCATACAAAATTCTCTTACAGTGATAAGGAGCACTTTGTTGGGACTTGCACAATTTCACACCATAGGAGCACTAAAACACACTGTTGCTAGTAATGAAAGAGATTCCTGGCTGAAGAAAGTGTTCTTGTCCTTCTGCTGCTCTCATTAACTTTTCTTCACAATTACTTGGTTTAAATAATGAAAAATTAGTGCCTGCAACAAGTACTAAGCTACAAAGAGAAGGAAGGCTCTGCTGAAAAGAAACATGTTAGATCAGGGCATGTGAGAGGAAAAAAGCTCAGCTGAGGGTATAAAGGACTGATTTTAAAGACTTTAAAATAAATCTTGTAATGTGCCTGAATTTCAAGTTGTCACTGTAGACTGCATGAGACTGAATATGTTATGGACAGGAAAGTAGAATTAATGTTTGATAGTAGAGTTCTTTTTTCTGAAAGAACTAAGTGTTGCAGTTATAATCAAATGTAATGAATGATTCATTAACCTAACGAGAAATATAAGCTTCAAAACTTGTTACTGAAAACAAAACTCAGAGTTAAACTGAGGATAAATATACCAGACTTTGAAATCAAATGTAGCATGCTAATTTTCATAGTAATTAAGGATTCTAATATTACCTCCTGGGTAAGGTAAAAGATTTCATTTAATTGGAACTTTCAAAACAAAATAAAGGAATTTAATTTTCAGAGTTGTAATTATTGATCATTATCAAATCAAAATGGAAAAGAAAAAAAGGCTCCTGTACAGCAGTGTCTCACAATATACATATCCAAATATAGGAAAAAATATTAAATAGATTAACATGGAAAATTAAAGTCTAAAACAATTAAGAGTAAATAAATGTTCCTGAAGAATCTTCTCAAAATACTTTCCAAGTTCATATCTTCAGATTATCAGATCAAAAGATTGACAGACTAACAGCTGCAATACATTTATTTTTAGCATAGGGAAGCAAAGACAAACCTTTAAAGTGTTTATTATTGGGGATTTTCAATGTATCTGCAACTCATACAAATATTCTATTAGCATACAGGTGACTATTAGCATACAAGTGCACACATGAGGCATGTCTGCACATCAGAGCTGTTGGTCACCAGCAGGTCTCCCAGAGGTCAGTACTGGAATGCACTGTCCAGCATCTCCATGAGTGAGCTGGTTTGTTGATAGCACTAAGCTTCTTGGTGAGGTGAGCATGTAAGAAGGGAGAGCCATCTTACAAGGAGAGATTTGGGCAGCTGGAACAGTGGGTGAGCTGGAACTTCACCGTTTAACCAAGATGTGTGCCAAGTCCTGCTGCTGGGATGGCAGGACCAAAGGTCCCAGAGCAGCGTGGGGCTCTGTGTGGCTGGGCAGCACTTTGCTGAAAGGGATCTGGGCTCCTGGTGGAGACAGCAGGCTGACCAGCTGTCAGTGCAAAGGCAAATCCAACCCTGGGCTGCATGCACGGGGCAGGCAGAGCCTGGAGCAGGACTGAGCACACTGCCAGGGCAGGAACAGGAATTACAGGGAGCAACGGCTGGTGGGTGCAATAGATCAGCACCTGCTGTGTGAAGCTCAGAACGTACTGCTTCCTCCTGGCATTACAGTGCAACAGGTCTTTCACACCTCTTAAGGCAAGACCAGTTCTAGCTCCCAACATTCCCTGCATTTGACCATAGACCGTACATCTATTATCTCTATAGGATGTGTTAAAAGCAATTCCTCACTTGAGGAGGTAGCTAACAGAAATAACCAGGAAACTGTACAAAACACAGTCTAAAAGGTCAACATTTGACCTTTTTTAAAAGGTCATTATTTGACCTTTTTAAAAACTTCTGAAGTGAGAAAAAATTTCCATAAAAATGCAAATTATTGGAGACCTGAGATCTGCAACATGGTTATTTAGGTTATTGTTCAGAGAACAGCTTCTGATTGTCTTGGTGGACAAAATAACCAGGGGAACTTGATTAATATTTTTTTGCAATGTTTTGACTTTTCACAATAGTTTCAAGCCTTGGCCATTAAACAAAAGTCATTTAAACTTTTCACTAGTAGATGGATTTATAAAAACAAAACTTGCAATCATCTCTGATTTTGTACTGACGGATTACATGGATGGATAAAGGAAATAGCAAACTAAGTCTTGGTCAAGTCTTTGATTTTGTAGATCATCCTGATTTATAAAGGAAAAGCACATCCCTAAGAAGCAAAACAATGAAGAGATAAATCTTTATTAAGAGTCTTGATGCTTGACACTGCATCATTCCCATACCCTTTGATAATCTACTACTAAAGTTGCTTCCTTTTGAAATCTTCTACGTTTGCAGTTAAAACCCAGTGGATGTACAAGTGCCTGGTATTCCAAGCTGGGGGAAAATAAACTCATTCACTTTCTGGCAAACAGAAATATATATACTTTAAATCATATTCTTCCAGATGTAACACTCTAAGGAATACATAACTTACCTACACAGTTTATTCTTTTTCTGCAAGAAGTATAGAAAGAGGGGTGAACACAGCACTGTGTTGTTAAGGCATTTGTTGATGCAGTAGTGACCCATCTGGTCATGCTATGCAACTCTTTAAGCATTGGCTCTTCCTTTGAATTAGATCGTGTCAATAGGGTGTGTAATGCTATAGAAACCTTTTATTAAAGGGTTGAGGACAGTGTGAAAATATATTGCAACATTTAAATTACTACACTATTTCCTCTTCTTTTATTGTGGTCTTGCAGCAATATTTTTTTTAATAGATTGGTGGCTTGAGTGAAACATGTTAAAATGTTGTGGTGTCCCATCCTCAGGGGGAAGAGCCACCCAAGAATCATTGATGTTTGTGGTAGAAAGGAATGACAGAAATCAGAGGTTCTGCAAAAGTTTCATCAGTAAATAACACACTGGGCATGGGCATTGGTATAAATCAGTCCCTGAGCTGCTTGTCCAAGTACATGGATGTGGGTTTTGAACAAAAGAGTAGGGTGAAAGGGGAGAGAGAGATGGATTAAAGAGGGGAAGAGAAACAGAAGGTTTAAAGAGCGAAGAAAAGGCATAATGGGAGAAGGAGAGAGATTGCCAATTCTGGCTCCAGAGCTGATCCAGCTGATGAGGTGTCCTGTGACTCAGGGGGTACCTTTTTACAGAGAAGTTTTCCCACCTTGGAGATAAATTTCTCTCTTTCTATGCAAATCAGTTCTCATGGGCTGTTCATTCTGTCAGACCTTTCTGGAGGCTTTGGGGGTCTTGGGTGGCTTGATACCCACTACAGTCCATATCCTTTTCCTGCTGTGCTGGGCTGTGCTGCATATCTCCAGGAGCCACGACAAGGACATCTGTCCTGAAAAATGCTGCCCTGCCTCCTGCAGAAATCTAGAGACCTACAGGGTCTCTTCTCCTGATTTCTGTTCTTTTTCACACATGTCCTTAACAACCTTCCTTGGATGGTTCCAGAGCCGTCTGGCTATCAGTGACATACACATTATCCCCTAAGGTTCTGAGCTCCTACAGATGTTCCCCAAATATTTTTACTGCTGAATCTGCTCCAATAAAGAATCATTTGGTTCTGTCAGTTGGTAGCCTTTTGCTAAATTTATCTCTTTGCTACTTTATCACGGAAAATATCAACTCAAATGCTTGAAAAGTTGAAATAGGCTATGCTGAATAAATCTCATTAACAGGCTTTATCCTTTATACTGTAGGATAGTAATTATGGGGAGTCTTCCCTGTGTACCATACCATCAGTGTTTCTATTTGATAAGGATGTGACACTTTGTGACTCTCAGCTATAGACAAATACCCTTTCAGATAACTGGCAAATACCACCACCAAAAAAGTCTCAGTCAACATCTAAATATTCTTCAAAAGAAACCTTCTTGAAATAAAGCTCTTAGGAGGTCAGTGTGAACTTTCCATTTACATGAAATACGAGATTTCTGCCACAGAATTATCTTCTCATTCTGTGGATTTCTCACCAACTTTCAGTACCTTTTGGTACTCAGACCACAGTAATAACATTCTGGCAGGACACTTTGGGAAGCACAGATGGAATAGTATCACTTCTTGCTTTCTTACTGCTACAGAACAAAGCCAGGAGGCCAGTCTTGCATTTTTGTGTAGGAAACCCAGCACTGGTGTTTGAACACAAGAAAATATTCAGACACATTCAAGAACCTGTTGAGTTCAAGGCTGCATTTATGACAATAACTCAATCTGCTGAAAGCAGCAGGTTCTGATGACTGCTCTGCTGAACTCAGTGGGTTAACACATAAGAGGGAGACAGAAACACAGGTGAGATTTGTCAAGATTTTTATAAGGTTCTTTGGATGTCTTATTTTCCTGGAAGTGTAAATACTCTTAGCATGGAAAACATCCCAGGAGTAAAATCCTGATCCTGTTATCAACCGCATGGGTTTGGTCATTAAATTCAATGTCTTGAGGCATTATTCATTTGACAAAAATAGAAAAGTGTATGAGGTCATGAGGGAAGAAGTAGCAAAAGATGTTTAACCACTCTTCAAACAATATTTTCAAGTTCATCTATCACTCCACCCTCTCTTTAGGACAATTCAATAAACAGGATATGGTTCAATATGAAATACCTTTAGGAGTTTTCTTAAATATACCCAGATTCACAAGGATTTACTTTCCTTTGGCTGCTATCCCTCACCCAAGCTAATTTACTGTGTCCACCATGTCCTTTACCTGAAATATGGTTTTCATGCCTAGTTATGCAGTCTCAGCCATGACATTTCCTGTTGAAGATCCACAGGAAAGCTGTCCAGAAATGCTTTGCTCACTTTGTGCTACTAAACTGGCCTGGATGAGGT